TCTTTCTGGAAAGTCCTAAAATGGGACAACAGCTAACTACCCCTTTGAGTCTGACCCTAGATCACTGGAAGAAAGTCAAGAATCGAGCACACCATCAATCTGTGGAAGTCAAGAAACACCAGTGGATAACCTTCTGCTCCTCCGAGTGGCCAACGTTTAATGTTGGTTGGCCCCGGGATGGAACTTTTGACTCTGATGTTATTTTGCAGGTTAAAGCTAGGATTTTCTCTCCTGGACCGATGGGACACCCGGACCAAGTGGCCTATATAGTCACTTGGGAAAACCTCTCCCTCGAACCACCACCGTGGGTGACTCCTTTTCTCAGTCCTACACGAAGAGTCCCCCTCCCTTCTGCCCCTAATTCGGACCCTTCGACCACCTCCTTGTGTCCTGTTGTGGTAAAACAAAAGCCTGTTCTACCCCCTGATGAGAGTGTTCCTGCTGATCTGCTGAGTGAGAATCCCCCTCCTTACCATGCTCCCCCGCAGGCCGCTGCGGCTGTTCCAGACGAAGCCCCAGCAGAAGGACCGGAGGTTGCTCCCTCCCCCATTGCGGGGCGACTCAGAGAAAGAAGAGGACAGGGAGATTCCTCACACATCCTGCCCCTCCCACTCGCAGGAGTGGAAGGAAATCAGTTTCAGTATTGGCCCTTTTCTGCTTCAGACTTGTACAACTGGAAAACTCATAACCCGTCCTTTTCCCAAGACCCGCAGGCCCTAACAGCCCTGATAGAATCTATCCTCCTTACCCACCAACCCACGTGGGACGATTGCCAACAGCTCCTGCAGGTCCTCCTAACTACGGAGGAAAAGCAGAGAGTCATTCTGGAAGCCCGAAAGCATGTCCCGGGGGCAGACGGGAGACCAACCCAATTGCCAAACGAGATCGAGGCTGCCTTTCCCCTCACCAGACCTGCTTGGGATTTCAACACGGCTGAAGGTAGGGAACACCTACGTCTTTATCGCCAGGTGCTTGTAGCGGGCCTCCAAGGGGCAGGAAGACGCCCCACCAATTTGGCCAAGGTAAGATCAGTAATGCAGGGAACCGACGAGCCGCCCACTGTGTTTCTAGAAAGACTTAAAGAGGCATATCGGAGGTACACTCCCTTTGACCCAGATAGCCCCAATCAGGAAGTAAGTGTTTCTATGTCTTTCATATGGCAATCAGCTCCTGATATTAGGAGTAAGCTCCAGAGAATGGAAAATTTGCAGGGGCAAGGTCTTAGAGACCTCTTGAGGGAGGCAGAGAGAATTTTTAACAAAAGAGAGACACCAGAAGAAAGAGAAGAAAGACAAAAAAGAGAGGCAGAAGATAGAGAGGCAATGAGAGATCGAAAGCAAAATAAGGAATTAAGCAGAATCCTGGCCACAGTAGTAAAAAAGGAAGATGAGGGCAGAGTAGAGAAGAAGGGAGATCGAGGGCGTGTCCGACTAGAGAAAGACCAGTGTGCCTATTGCAAAAAAAGGACACACTGGGTAAAGGACTGTACCAAGAGAAAGAGAAAACAGAGGGAAGAAAAAGCTGAAATCCTTAACCTCGATTAGGGAGGTCGGGGCCAGGAACCCCCACCTAAGCCCAGGGTAACTCTTCATGTTGGGGGACAGCCAGTCACCTTCATGGTAGATACTGGGGCGCAACATTCCGTCCTTACCCAGACGACTGGCCCGCTTAGTAAGAAAACAATATGGGTAGAAGGAGCCACTGGAGCCAAACGATACCGCTGGACTACAAGCCGGGAGGTTCAGCTTGCTTCAGGGACAGTGACTCATACCTTCCTGCATGTACCAGACTGTCCCTACCCCCTGCTAGGACGGGACCTACTAACCAAGCTTGGAGCACACATCTACTTTGAAAACAAGGGAGCCAAGGTTACTGATTCCAAAGGGACACCCATACAAGTGCTTACTCTTAAATTAGAAGATGAATATAGACTACATCATGGTCCCCATCCTGTCCAGACAGACATAGATCAGTGGCTGTCCAAGTACCCTGACGCTTGGGCAGAGACGGGAGGAATGGGGCTGGCCATACACCAGCCACCCCTAATTATTGACCCACGTGGGATGATTGCCAACAGCTATTACAGGTCCTCCTAACTACGGAGGAAAAGCAGAGGGTCATCCTGGAAGCCCGGAAGCACGTCCCGGGGGCAGATGGGAGACCGACCCAACTGCCAAATGAAATTGAGGCTGCCTTCCCTCTTACTAGACCTGCTTGGGACTTCAACACGGCTGAAGGTAGGGGACACCTACGTCTTTATCGCCAGGTGCTTGTAGCGGGCCTCCAAGGGGCAGGAAGGCGCCCCACCAATTTGGCCAAGGTAAGATCAGTAATGCAGGGAACCGACGAGCCGCCCACTGTGTTTCTAGAAAGACTTAGAGAGGCATATCGGAGGTACACTCCCTTTGACCCAGATAGCCCTGATCAGGAAGTAAGTGTTTCTATGTCTTTCATATGGCAGTCAGCTCCTGATATTAGGAGTAAGCTCCAGAGAATGGAAAATCTACAGGGGCAAAGTCTTAGAGACCTCTTAAGAGAGGCAGAGAGGATTTTTAACAAAAGAGAAACTCCAGAGGAAAAAGAAGAGAGACAGAAAAGAGAGGCAGAAGATAGAGAGGCAATGAGAGATAGGAAGCGAAATAAAGAATTAAGCAGAATCCTGGCCACAGTAGTAAGAAAGGAAGATGAGGGCAGAGTAGAGAAGAAGGGAGATCGAGGGCGTGTCTGACTAGAGAAAGACCAGTGTGCCTATTGCAAGGAAAAAGGACACTGGGTAAAGGACTGTACCAAGAAAAAGAAAAAACAGAGGGAAGAAAAAGCTGAAATCCTTAACCTCGATTAGGGAGGTCGGGGCCAGGAACCCCCACCTGAGCCCAGGGTAATTCTTCATGTTGGGGGACAGCCAGTCACCTTCATGGTAGATACTGGGGCACAGCATTCCGTCCTCACCCAAACGACTGGCCCGCTTAGTAAAAAGACAATATGGGTAGAAGGGGTTACTGGAGCAAAGCGTTACCACTGGACTACAGGCCGGAAAGTCCAGCTCGCCTCAGGGACCGTGACTCATACCTTTTTACATGTACCAGACTGTCCCTACCCTTTGTTAGGAAGAGATCTACTAACCAAGCTTGGAGCACACATTTATTTTGAAAGAAAAGGGGCTAGAATCACAGATTCCACAGGAGCACCGATACAGGTACTTACCCTCCGACTAGAAGATGAATACAGATTACATCGTGCCCCCCTTCCTGTCCAGGAGGGCATGGATCGGTGGTTGTCCAAATATCCAGACGCTTGGGCAGAAACAGGAGGAATGGGGCTGGCCATCCATCAGCCACCCCTAATCATTGAACTGAAGGCCAC